TAAAAGTATTAAAATATAATAAAACAACATAGATAACTTAATTGTAAACATAATTAATTATATTCTTCAATAAGTAAATAAGAAAAAGAAAAAAAATACTTTACCTATATAAATTATTTTATTATGACTTGAATAAATTAGTTAACGTTATAAAGATGTGTTTTTCTTTCACTCTGGTGTAAAGTATATGTAAATAATGTAAATAATTTCTGTTAAAAAATTATCTTGGTTATTTTATATATCAAAAAAAAAAAAAAAAAGATTGCCAACAGCACGTAGTGTTCCCAAGCGATCACCCATCCAAGTATTAACTACGTCCAACATTACTTAACTTCAGTGATCGGACGAGAACTGGTGAATTCAACGTGGTATGAACGTTGGTGAAAATTAAAAATTATATAATTTAAGCTGATTAAAGTTAGGTCACAAGAATTAAAGAAATTATTGCTATTTCATTTTTAATACAAATATTCACATTGATTGTAAATTTACAAAAGTGAAGTGAAAGATTTAAAGAAAATTACAGGGTTTTCATTTATAAAATAAATTAAATTTTCATAACTAATTCTCTTATTATTATACCAGAATATTTATAAATCTATGTTTTCAAATCTTTTACGGGGATATGTAATGTTTTACGCAACTCGTCGAATTATAATGTACCTATTTTAAAGCAGTCGACTAGGTTATTTGAGATGGACACTTCTGAGGAAATCATTATTGTGCTGTACGAAAATACTGGATTTCCGAAATATTCCTGTACCTATGTACAATGCCAAAGCCAGAGAAATATTTTTTTTGTGGGTAAGGTTTAGATTATCAATGTTATTTTACTAAAAATTTTTAAAATTTCAACTGAAATTGACATTTAAAACATTCAGTTTTATTTTAAGAAAAAATCTCGAGATGTTGAATCCTAGCTACTGAGGTTACGGTATTGTGTACGTTAAATTTAATTTATAATTTAAGTTATATCAATGATTTGAAATCGAACAATATACTTAAATCTATAACACCTATTAGGTAGGTATATACCTATTCTGTGAATTCTATTACAGGACACTAGAATTTTAATTCTCTCGAATTCGCTTTCTGAACAAAAGAAAATATAGATCTTTTACTATTAATATGCACGGAAATTTAATTTGATTTTCTTTTTTTATGAAGAATTCAAAAGGAACACTGTACAATGTACGTTTCGTTTAGTTATATTTTATAATTTATTGTTTATTTAAATAGAAAATTATTAGGATGAACCTTAATAAAAGTTGTATTTGTGATCGGTTAATCGATGAGTAGTAGTTATAACGTAAATATTATGTCTAGGGTCTGAATTTAAATGTCCGTTAGTTTGTCTAATTAATAAATTCAACATTTATTACGGGGTGAAAAAAAAACTGAAACTCGACTTGATGATTGTTCGGTGCCGCTGAAATAATATACTTAATGTACAGTATAGGCTAATATTTAGTGTGACCGAATATTGTGCCTTTGTACTATTTCCAGAAAACTGACATGGAACTTAATCTTACTATGCGAACTCTTACGGGTACAGTTAGATCTTCTAAAGTAAAATGGTTACCATTTCTTGCTAACAATAATAGAGTAAGAAATAGAATAAGAATGCATTCTCTATATATTGATTTCACAGAGCACCTTCGCAAAATATTGAAATCAAGACACCTAATACGAGATCTGGATACATACAATTATAAAATTTTATACATTTTGTGAGTATCTACCTGTAATATTACCTAATTCATTTTCTTCCAATCAGTATTTATTAATTTTCTATTATTTTTTTTTTTATTTTAATTTATAATGTAATTTCACTTTATCGAAAAAAATTAAAAAGTTATTATTATCAATTTAATTTATAGCATAACTTCTAGTGGATACATCTAAATTTGAATATTATCATTATAATTTTGGTAATTCTAAGTATTTACTTGCTTTATTACGATTTTGATTAAAATTCTGCAAAATGAAAATTTTCAGAAGATTAGCTCAATATATCAATAGAAAAGTACGTACCCTCATTAAAATGATGCGATCGGCACGACTTCGTAAAAATAACAGTAATGGATAAAATCCACAGACTTTAAATGACTTAGTCGAACACGGCGAAGAAAATCGCAGTTCAACTGAACTACACGTTGACGTTGAGACAGAAGAATTGAGAGCCGAGTGTCCGACAATCTATGAAAACAATCATTATCTACCAGCATCCGAACAATCGGAAGAACATGGAGAATTTTATCAACCGGACTTAAAAGACTTGGTCAAACACGGGGAAGAAAGTCCCAATTCATCCGGAACATCCATTGTCATTGAGACTAAAGAATCAAGAGCCGGCCAGACATTGACTGAAAATTAACATAATCTACCGGCATCCAAACAAGTGGAAGAAAACGAAGATTTTTGTGACATCTATATATGAAAGTGACACGTCTGTGTCCAGCGGTACATTAGGTATGACTATACTTTCGCGCTAGTACTCGTATAGGAACCAATTCTATCCAATGGCTTCGGAATTGTCAGTCGAATTCGACGAATAGAGTAACGCGTCAACATCAATCGCCGATAAAAATCGAGCCAATCGATCGTCGTATGAAAATGATTGTTATTCGGCGTCAGAAGTTAACGAAAGTAACAATGATGACGATGCTAGTGTGTCCAGTGAATCTTCGGATATAGCAAGGGCATATTTAGACTTACTTCTTAGGGGGAGGGACTCAATTTTTTTCTTTAATTCAGGCTCAACATTTACAAGTAAAATTGTTGATAATATTTAAATCAGGTGATTCCTTAATATTTGTGTGTTTTTTTTTAATTTAATGACAGATCCACTTAGAATCGACTTTTGTGTAGTTCTTTTTTAATACCTGTTTGTGTTTTGAAAGTTATGCTTGTGTTTTATTTGATTTTTCACTAAGTATGGACACTAAGTATCGTTATAAAATGATCCGCATTATAAAAATTTGAAATGTTTATCTCACATATGATCGATTCCTTAAATACGGATTCAGGGGGGGGGGCGATCGCCCCCTTCGCCATCCCCTCTAAAATAGGTCTCTGGGGTATGGCCGTACCTTTGCGGCGTTTAGAAACGTTTGATCCGGAGAACAGGCATTTCTATCCAGCGTATCCTGGCTGCAACTATCTTACTAGTGGCGGACAAGAAACGGTTGCAAGAGCTGAATATTTGTACAAGAAACGATATTATCAAACGACTTCAGAAACGTCCGTTGAACACGACGAATGAAGAAATGGTTCGGATTAGTACTCTGTAAGCGAACGTACCAAAATGCCTGGTCCGTCCACCGAATAACCAGTTAGACTAAAATACTTGAGGATCGTTCCTTATTATACTGTTACTTATCTTATAATAATCTGTTAAGTTTCTAAAATGTATAGATTTTATTGGTTTTGATACAATTTTTTTTTAATATTATTATTTTGATAATATCTTAATACTCAATATGTATGGTTCACATTTTATTGTACGTTCATACATTCCAATTCGAATTTGATAACATTTTCCAATATTTTTTTTTTATATTTTCCTCATTCATGAAAAATTGAAGAAGATTTTTATTTTTGAAAGTGTGCTATGTACCTACATTAAAATGAAAAAAACATCATTCGGTTAATCCCGAAAAAATCCAATCGGTTTTATATAGTTTTTTTACGTGATCTATTCGGAACTTGAATTTTGAATATTGAGATAGTAGCAAATGATTATGTAAAGTTATACTTAAAGCACTTTTCAGGCATCTGTGTAAATGGATAGATAAAGTTTATGATTATCTAAACAGCTGTACCCAGAGAGAATAATAAGTGCACAATAATTGAGAGTTCGGATATAGTAGATGGAGGAATATTGTGGAAGTAAAGAAAGTCCTTTGAAGCCTGTAAAATGACGAGAAAAATAAGAATAAGTACCAATAATTATTTTAATTTAATTTTATAAATTTATATGTTTGTAATTTGTAAACTTCTAATTTTTTGAATTTTAGAAATGTCACTACGGAAGAAGTAATTGTAAAACGTGTAACACAACTGTCTAAATAATTATGTTTGTGTATGCTGTCTTATAAAAGTTATCCTGCTTTAAACATTTACCTATTATATTAAAGTACATTTAGTTGTTATAAATAAATATTAATATACATTTATAAATAAAATATGAAAATACAATTATTTTTAAAATTTTTTAAATTTATTTAACAAATAATATGTACACGAATAAAAGTGTTAAAAAGTGTTCTCATAATCGTACTCTTCTAGTTGTATCCGCCAACGCGCTAATTTGGATAATGGATCTTTTAAATTAAATAACCATGTTAATGGTCTATGATCGCTCAAAATAATAAATTTCCTTCCGTACAAATAAGGTCGAAATTGTTTAACACCATATACTATTGTTAAACATCAGTGGCGCCGAAGTACAAAATTACATGTATGGCATTGATCTCCGACCACCACCCACCCACCCCCACCACAACACACACAATCACATAACCCACTTATTAAATTTGAAACCTGTCAAACAATTTTCCACCCACTTTTATTTTTGATCAACTCTCTTTTCTTTTCCAACTAATTCGTATGTAAATATTAATATAAATATAAAATATATAATAATAATATTAATAATAATATATAATAATGTCAATAATGAGTTTTTATCGATTTGTGAGTACATGGTACATAAAGCGTCAAAGGCATCACAAGGTACAATGTGTGAATTATTTTGAACTTCTCGAATACGTCTAAATGAAAGAAGGGATAAGTCTTTTAGAGGTCCTATATTGGTGCTTTCAAAACGTCCACTTAACTCTGCCAAAAGAATATCCATTATGACATTGTATGTATCAGTTCTAAATTTTTTCATGGGGCATGATATAATTTCATCCTGACAATGTTCACCTGAAATTAATATTTCATTTTGAAATTTAGAACAATCATACTTTCTTGATAAATTAAATTAATAATTGATATTTATTTTGAAAAATATATACACCTGATTTTCTTGGAACACGTTTGGGTCGACTAGATACAAGAGGTAAAAAGTCAACAATACTATTTTCAGCAAACTCATCAGTCCTTTTTAGTAATCTTTTAAACGAATCATCATTTCTAAATTCTTTGATTTGATGAATCACATTATTTAAAATATTTGTGGCCATAAGCATATCCATATCTTGGGACTGCAATTGGTGGGTGACAGGTTCAAGTATTTGAAATATAGTTTTGAATAATAATGCTGTTAGAAGAAAACGTTGGGATGTAAGGTATGATATCAAACCACTACAACTCGCACCAACTACTACATCAGCAGATCCTTCAGAATCTTTAATTTTATTTAATGTTTTTAAAACTGCATTGTGGAATTTTAAACTACATGTAATGCTGCCGCATGAGAACTCCAACATGTTGTACTTACTCTCTTAACAGCATGCAATGGATTATATTTACCTTCCATATTATCACATTCAATTTGAATTTCTCTGAAAATCGCTGCTCTTTTCTTTGAACACCAAAGAAAAACATAGAGAGTTTCTAAATTGCCAAATAAATCAACTGCGTTGGAGTTACACGATACTGCTTGTTTTACTACCAAAGCCAAACGATGGGAGTGACACCACACAAATAATGCTTGTGGGCTTTCTTCTTTAATATGAACTTGGAGGCCATTATAGTTACCAC